TCATGACAGCTGTCTAGATAATCCTGAGGATCCTCAGAAGATGCACCGCTGAAAGTAATAGTGAAGAGCTTGGTAAACCTGTCCAATCTCCACAAAACATCGGCAGACATAGCTGCTCCATCACCGATCTGAGCTACCATACCCGGCTGAACTGATCCAACTGGCTGAGCTGCTAGAGTCTGAAACTGGGGAGCCAACTGCTCCGGAGTGCGAGTTGCAGGAGTCTGGACTCTTCATCCAGCATGAGAGACGGCTGGTGCTACGGGAAGCAAGTTTGCGCGGGTTACACTCTCCATAAGGTCCACTAGACGGACCAGAGCATCCTGGAGTACCGGGGTAGCAATAAATCCCTCTGGGACCTGAGCTGGGCCCACCGGGACAGTCTGAGCCGGAACCTCATTATCAAACTCAACCTGAGACTCTGTCGCTGGTGCTGCTGCTCTGGGCTGAGCTCTGCACCTACCTCGACCTCTAGCACGACCTCGGCCTCGCCCTCTACCCCTCGTGGGAGCTGCTGTTGGGGGCTCGAGCTGCTGATCGGTGGATGAGGAATCGCGTGTTCTCGCCATCTGCGAAAGAACAGAGTAGAAATTCAATTAGCATTGAGAAACCAAACCGCACGACAGGAAAGAATATATGTGAAGTTTTTCCTAACTCCGTAGCCTCTGGGGATAAATACAGACGTCTCCGTACCGATCCATCAGACTCTACTAAGCTTGTCTGTGAATTGTGAGACCCATGTAACCTAAAGCTCTGATACCAACTTGTCACGACCCGGATTTTCCACCCTCGGGAGTCGTGATGGCGCCTACTAGTGAAAGCTAGACAAGCCGACCATTTGAACAAATTATCTTTTTCCCATTTTAATTCTTTAACAAATGTGAATCAACAGTTTATAAACAGCGGAAATTTAAAACAAGCGGAAGAAACAATTAAACCATTTAAATAATTCCAACATGATTTCTTAATCAAAAACTATCCAAGACTGGTGTCACAACTCCACAGACAGTCTAAGAATTCTACAAACAAGGTCCGAAAAATAAATGCAACACTGTTTCTGAATTACATAAGTGAAACAAGAAGAAAAGATAGAGGGAGACGTCAGGGCCTGCGGACGCCTACAGGACTACCTTGGATCTCCGTATGGACTGAAGGCAGCCACCCAAGCTAAGGTCCAAAAGCTGTTGCTCCGGGATCTACACACAGTGTAGAGTATAATATCAGCACAACCGACCCCATGTGTTGGTAAGTGCCTAGCCTAACCCCGGCGAAGTAGTGACGAGGCTAGGACCATACTACCAAATAAACTTGTGCAATTATATCATATATAGCGAAAAATAAAGCAGAAATGTACAGTTAAGAATAGGAGGAGGGAACATGTTGCGGGGGAATATCATTTACCAACAGTAACTCAGGAGAATAGCATAAAGAACAATTTAAAATTCGCAGCAGAAAGAATAAGGAAACCGTGCCAAATCACTAACCACTTTTATCTCTTATTGTTGCGGCGCGCAACCCGATCCAAATCATAAATAAACATTATTACAGCGTGCAACCCGATCCAAATATAATATTGTTGCGGCGTGCAACTCGATCCAAATATAGTATTGTTGCGGCGTGCAACTCGATCCAAATATAGTATTGTTGCGGCGTGCAACCCGATCCGAATATAATATTGTTGCAGTGTGCAACCCGATCCAAATATAATATTGTTGCGGCGTGCAACCCGATCCAAATATAATATTGTTGCGGCGTGCAACCCGGTCCTAATATACAATTCAAAACCAATCACAAAAGAATCCCAACAAGGGAACAATAATGGAACAACAACATCCCGGCAAGAGAATCGACAATATAAGTAAATACGTCCCGGCAAGGGAATCAGCTATAACCAAACTTGTTCCAACATTTATCTTCACAAAGAAACCTCAACTAGTACGAATACTCCACCATAGGCAATTTCCACGAGAATAATCAAAATTCTTTCCCAACACAGAGAATCAACAACTTAGGCATTTATAGTACTTATTAAGAACACAACGATTTCAATTTAAGACTCACGGGCATGTTTGACACCAACGTATAGATACTCGTCACCATGCCTATACGTCGTACTCAACAAATAACACATAGCAAATAGGACACAACTCCTAATCCCTCAAGTTAAGGTTTGACCAAACACTTATCTCGATGCCACGAACACAATTCAAGCCTCAACTATCGTTTTACCTTTTGATTCCACCACCAATCTGCTCATATCTAGCCACAAGTTACTTAACTATATCAATAAATGCTAAATGAATCAATTCTAATGCATGAAAATAGGTTTCTAAAGTTTTTTTCACAAAAAGTCAAAAATCGCCCCTAGGCCCACATGGTCAAAACTCGAGGTTCGAACCAAAACCCGATTACCCATTCTCCCACGAACTCAAATATATAATTTGTTTTGAAATCGGACCTCAAATCGAGGTCCAAAACCCCAAAATTTGAAAAACCTAGGTTCTACCCAAAATACCCAATTTTCCCCATGGAAATCATTTTTTGAGTTGAAATCATGTGAAAAGATGTTAAAGATTAAAGAAAACGAGTTAGAAATGACTTACAATCGATTTGGAAGAGAAGTAGTCTTTGAAAAATCGCCTAAGAGTGTTTTGGTTTTGAAAGGGTTTGAAAAATGGGAGATTTCCGGCTAAGTTATAAATTTGCAGGTCGCAGATATCGCAATTGCGAACCCTTAAGAACCTGCTATCTTCGCATTTGCGATCATATGTTCGCAATTGCGAACTCGCATTTGTGAAGGTGGTGTCGTATTTGCGACTACTGGCTACTACTGAAGGCATCGCATTTGCGATGTGTACCTCGCATTTGCGAGGTAATGCTGGCCTTGGGCTTTTCGCATTTGCGACATAACTCTCGCATTTGCGAGCTAGGCTTCGCACCTGCAATATACCAGTTAAAAACTTGCAATTTTCTAAGTCCAAATTTCACTCCGTGACCTATCTAAAACTCACCCGAGCCCTCGGGGCTCTAAAACAAACATGCACACCAACCTAAAAACATCATACGGACTTGCTCGTGCATTCAAATCACCAAAATAACATCAACAACTATGAATTTAGCATCAAAATCATGAAATCACTTAAGAACATTCAATTTTCCAATTTTCTCAAATAAGGTCTGATTCACGTCATTTCAAGTCTGTTTCTAACCAAATTTCACAGACTCAACTTAAATCACATATAAGACCTATACCGGGCTCCGGAACCAGGATACGGGCCCGATACCATCAGATTTCAAACACAGTTCATTTCCAAAAACTCATAAATATTCCAGAAATTAATTTTCTTTAAAAATTCATTTCTCGGGTTTGGGACCTCAGAATTCGATTCCAGGCATACGCCCAAGTCCCATATTTTCCTACGGACCCTCCGGGATCGTCAAATCACGAGTCCGGGCTCGTTTACCCAAAAATGTTGACCAAAGTCAACCTAAATTTATTTTAAAGGCAAAATTTATTATTTTTCACAAAATTTTACATAATGGCTTTCCGGATACGTGCCCGAACTACGCACGCAAATCAAGGTAAGGTAAAAAGGAAATTTTAAAGCCTCGGAACAGAGGATTTGTTTCTAAAACAAGTGATGACCTTTTGAATCATCACAGAAATTCTATCCGACTATTCCTTTATATATACACATAGATTAGTAATTTTGTGGTTCAAGTAAGGAATAATTTATATAAGGTAAATCCTAATTGATTTTAAACTCCCAATTATTAGAAATAGTTCAAATAAGGAAAAATTTAATACATAATATTGTAGTTGATTTAAAACTTCTAAATATTCAGAATAAAACTAAAATTCCAATTTTGTCCAATGTGAAATGTGAAATGTAAATGTAAATGTTTAAAAAGGCGAATGACATTTTGCTAAAAGTCTCCGTGCTTTTAATATAGTATATAGAATAGATATAATAACATAAAATTCCACATCCAAAGGGACCTTAAAGGAATTCGTAGATATCTCCCAAGTATTTATTTTCCATTTTTTCTGTCCAAATTACAATCCAAGAAATAGGAAATGATTTTTTACCAGAATACACTATCCAAACATAATAAAGAATCCAACTTCCTTTGAACTATTTCTTTTCTACTATAATCTTCAAGTTGCAAACAGAGCGCTTAAGAGTCAACTACTAGATAAGAATATAATTTTGGAAAATACTTGCCATTTACTGAGACCCC